TTTAATTAGTTGTTTCTCTATTTTGATGTTTCAGTAGCTTAAGAATTTAGAATCAATAACAACTAATAAACAGAACTTTATCTCATCTTCAGACAAAATTTTCTGGGTAATATATAAAGCTGTATAAAAAGCTATATAAAAAAAAGGTGTGATTGGTTCTGCACAAAACCTTTACCACTATAATGAAATCTCATATGCTGGTGTCTGGCTGTCTGTTCCTAAGAATTAAGCTGCTTGACCCTCATATGTCAAATACATAAAACTTGATTGATAACTAATAACTGTTTCTGTCTAATACATTTTAATGTCATTTTTCTATGGTTCAAAATTTTTCTGTTTTCTGGGGAAATTTGAACATAAATTATCCATTGTTTTCTGAGTGTTTTCACCTTTCTTAAGTCATTATCAAATAATTCTTTGTGTGCTGATAGGTTTGTGTATATAGATATGCATTTTGATTCTTTGGTAGAATTTTGAAAGTTATTTGTTCACATGTCAGTTGGTATCATGTTGAGATTTACCAATTATTATGTGTTCATATTTTGTAAAGTTTATTATTATTATTATTATTAGGAAATATAGTTAATATATTCATTCCTAAATTGTATGAAGTTTTATTGATATGCATTTTTGGTTTACTATAGTTAAGGATTTTAGAATTTGTAGTAGTTTTATTTTTCACTTTTAAAAATGATGCAACATGACAAACTGAAGTGTGAAGACACAGTACTTGAATAAACACTTCATGACATTGACCAACACATGAAGATGGGGTACTCTAAAACTACCAAAAAAACACAATACATATCTATACTTACCTGGCTTATGTCAGCGGGTACCTCCCAGATGAGGCTATGCACTTTGAGCAGATTCTCGTCTCGGAAAGCTGACTCCATTTTTTGGTCTATAGGGAATTTTTGCCCAAGCCTACGGGCTTGGATACCCCACTTTAATCTTGGCCTTGTCCCACATCTTGCTGCATGGGGTAGCAGGTAAATAATCATATCTATATGAATTATTATGAGAAATTATTCAAATCTCCAAAAATTTCTATCACTTATAAACCCTATGCTTGCCCTAGCTTCTAATGCTCCGGACGTAGAGGCTTGTTGAAAGAAGACATTGCTCTTGGAGTCCATTCTGATGGGTTATGTATGCCTGGGGAGTATCACCACTGGAATTAGGAACAGCTGTACTATATTGAGTATAGTTAGTTTTCTCTTCAGCACCAAGGCCTGCTGGCATGATTCTTGCATTCTATTGCAATGGTCTGGGTTCAATTCTAGGCAGTGGATGTACACTGCTGTTGAGTCTCAAAAAGGACAAAATGGCCATCTGGTGCTTTCTGCATTCTATTGACTATTTTCGAGTTATTATGAGAAATTATTCAAATCTCTAAATTTCTATTACTTATCTCTATCTATAGATATATAACTTTCAACTCATACAAATTCTTTGCTTACAACTTATGAAAGTTGAATGTTTAGAAAAAATTGGTCAATTCATATTTAAATTTTCTCCAGAATCAAGAAAAATAAAAAATAATCTTTTGTTAAGCCTTCAAACTAACTTACATAAGTGAAAAATTACTTACCCGATTTAAATATATATTTCTTTCATTGGATATCTCTACTAATTGTATTTTTCCATGTTTAATCATGAAAGTTGTGAAAAGAATATTCGGTACTTTTTTTTTTTTCATGAATGGTTTACAAAAAGCTTTATTGCCCAGTGAAGGCCACAAATAAAGCTTAAAGAGAGATTGAAAAGTAAACATGTGTTTTTGGAAAAGTTATATTCTTAATAAAACCAAAAAAGATATATCAATATTGATTGCAAATATTGAAAAAAAATGAATAACTGCTTTCTAATAGTTCTTCAAATTTTAAACATAAAAATTTACAAAGATTAGGATTGTCTTTCATGTTTATGATAGAGAGGGAAAGAGAGAGACTTTTTGGAAAATATTTTGTTGAAATATTATTTAAAGCAAATAAATACTGATTATCATCTTAAATTTAAATTATCATAAATTCAATTTCAGAATTTCTTTCCTAACTGGCTTCATATTTTAGTACAGAATTTTAAAAATCATTTCATTTTAATACTACCTCTGAAAAATAACTTAATCATTTACTTCCTTTATAAACATGCTCCCTAAACTAAAAAATGTCCCCACCTTTTCTGTTCAGATAGGCCATTTTTCTTTATTATTATTTATTTTATTTTTTTTATTTACTTAAAATGACTTAAAACAATTGAATATAATTTTTTGAATAGCTGACGAAAGAAATTTGAAACAAATTTCTAATTTGGTCTTATTTTTATTTTTTAATATACAACATATTGCTTGTAAGGACATTTTTTTTACTTATTTTTAAAATATGAAAATGTAAGTGCTGTTTGATTATACAGTGAAAATGTTTTCTCTCTTTTTTTTCTTGATATATTTTCCACCTCTGTTTGAAAAACAACTGCTTTAATATGATTTAATTTAATTTTTTTTTAATTATTTACTTTCATTATCTATTTTGATTGATTTCTTTATCTTCTATTTTTACTTTTTTGCCTGTTAAAAATAAAGTTTTTAATATGTAGGCTTTTTCTTCTAAAGCAAATAATCTCCAATATTCTGTGAGACATAAAGACAGTCATATTATGAAATGGGTACCAAAAGGTTCTCAAAACCACCAAGAAGCATTTTCATAAATAAATCTGGTTGTTTTTGTTGTATTTCAAAAAGTGGATCAGGCCATGAACTCTGCTGCACCCATTTGTAATATGAATGTCATTTTCTTCATCATATTCTCCTGGCATCAGCTTAAACAGACACTTTATTTTTCTACACAGCAATTTTGCTTTGTGTTCAGATGAAAGCTTACAAATTTTCCAATATATTTCAATGACTGTTACTTTTTCCAAAATTGTAGTTTATAATTGTAATTTACATATAAGGAAAAAGATGTCAGTTTAAACTTACACCAGGAGGATATAAATTAAAATGATGGGTCATTTTTAATGGATATCTCCTTTTCTTTACTATATCTAAAAAAAGGACAATGTTCTCTTTTAAAAATAGATCTTTAATGGCTTAAATAATTGAGCAGTTAATGTTGTAGCTTTTCAGTTCCTAATTATAATCAGAGAAATATATTACAATTAAAACTTTTTTAAGGGTACTATTTATAGTATCTTTGCTTTAAGAAGAAAACATTTAAAAATGACTAATTTTTAAAGTATTAAGAAGTATAGGTAGAAAAAAATTCACCAAACAGTATTTTCTTTACTCAGATAACAATTGCAATGTCAGCTGACCAAATATAATCTCTTCCTCCTCTTTGATTTGAGAAATGTAATTTTAGAAATGCCATTTGAAAAATGTCATTCTCATGAAAAGGTTTTCCAACTTTTATATTTTACTTATTAAAATTCATACAAAGTGTTTAATTTGTCTTGACAAAAAATTAAACTCTTTTATTACCTTTTTCTTTTAATTATTTAACCCTAAGCAAGGCAATAAAGCCACCAAGATGCAAAGGGTTACAGAGAATGAAAGAAACTGAGAAAACATTAGCACATTAAAAGACTAAGATTCAAGAGGATATTGATTGACATTGCATTTAAATTTTTGAAGATCATAGTTGACATGATAGCAAAGAAACTGGAAGAGATTTCTACAAGCAAGAAGTACAAGAGAAGAAAGCCTGGACACATTTTTGATATATATGCAAATTATTCAAAGACCATTTTAGGTTATAAATGTAGTAAGAGTGTGCTCTATTTACCATGAGCTAAATATGATACAATATTTTTTTAAGCTATGCTATATTTATAGGGTAAAAGTAATCAATACCTTGTATAGAGCAAGTATATATATATGTGTGTGAAAATATATAGAAAATAGGAAAGAACTCGTTAGGTAAATAATCCAAAGTTCTTTAGTATTTTTGTTATTATTTTTAAAAAACAGTGCTTGATACAAAAGTAGGGCCTAAATATAATTATTTATTTAAAAATATTGAAATTTTCGGCTCTTGTTTTGAAACATGAGAACTCTTATGTTGCGATGGAATTTTATTTTTAAATAAATAATTATATATATATTGGACACTGATGTCAACACCAAGTGATGACAGTCTGTTTCATACTTGACCACAATTTTCAAAAATATATTTACACATATATATTTGCAAAATTTCAGATATAACTAAGAATATATTTGTAAAAGGACAATATGAATAAAGAAAAAATGAAAACTTATCTTAGCTGACATGTTTCATCCTTTGATTGATAAAGTCCATCATATAATGAAACATTGGCTAAGATAAGTTTTCCTTTTGTCTTTATATATATATATATATATATATAGAGAGAGAGAGAGAGAGACAAAATGAAAAACTTTTTAATGACAATGAATTTTCATTTTGCCTTTGTGTGTTAGGTTTGTGTCTCTTCAGGTTAGAATGAAAGACAAAACTGAGTATGTGTGTGTTTTGTTAATTAAAACCAAAAGTTTATTTGCTAGCTTGGTATCTTCTGGTTGAAATGAAAGAAAAAATCTGTGTGTCTTTTTTTTTTTTTTTTTTTTTTTGCATTAAAGCCATTAATTTCTGTTGGATTTGAAATTAGATCATTACAAGGTGTTCTCTGTTAGTCTCTCTATCTGTAGGATAGATTTTATCAATGTTGGTAAATTATCATATAGGTGAGTTTCTGATGATTTATAAAATTGTAGGAAAAATGACCCAAATTAATTTTACTATATTGTATTAGTTTAGATTTGCACTTTTTTTTTTATAAGAGGGTAAAACAATCCATATTGTTTTTAACATTTGGTAAAATATTTTTCTCTTTTTTTTTTTCTACTGTATTTTATGATGTAATAGGTTTTATTTTTGTCTTATTTAGTAAGAGTTTATACTTTGTCCATCTGGGCATTAGTTTATTTTTCAGAATTATTTTATTTATTTTAATTAACCTTGCTTATAATTATTTTTTAGTATCTTTTTTTTTCTCTCTCCTTTTATTCTTTTTTTGTATTTATTGTACTTTTTGTTGTTTTTTTTTAAATTTTTCTGTTTTTTTCTTTTTTATCTGTTTTTTCTTTTTCCTGTTTTTTTTCTTTTTTATCTGTTTTTTCTTTTTCCTGTTTTTTTTTGTCTGTTTTTCTTCTATTTATCTTTTATTTTCCCTTTTTTCTTTTCCTTCATTTCTTTGTCTTTTCCCCCACTTTTACTTTTCCTCTTTTTTATCTCTTTTTATCTACTTTTCCCTTTTTTTTTTTAATCTGTTTTTTCTATTTTTTTTCTATTCATCCATCTAGTCTCTTGTTTATTTCTATGAGGTGGAATTTAACTTTTATGTTTACATCTCCATTTTTATTTATCAATCTACTGATATTTTTAAACAAATTTTTCCAGTCTGTACTCAAATCCACTGATCTTCATTTTCCCCATTCAAATGTTTTTTTTTCATTTTTTCATTTTTAAAATAGTAAGGGTAAAAATTTGACTTGAAACTTCAAATAAAGTGAATATTTCCTAAAATACTTTGTTAAAGAAGTTTTCCAATTTTTTTACTCCTTTCATGGCTATGAATTAAAATGTTTTAAAAAATATATTTACAAAATTCTCTCTTTTTTTTTTTGTTTATTTTTTATCATTTCTTCGTCTCTCTTCCTGATTATTTTCACTATTAATAACAGTAACTAAATTATTGGTTACTCTTTTTATCACTGAAACTCAAACTTGTACAAGATTAAATAAAAAAAAATAACTTAAGCAGGCAAAGATTCTCTTGTATTTAACAGTTTTATTTTTATGTTTTTACATCAAATAAATTAAAAATGCACAAACAAAATCAACAATTTGTTGCTGCAATTTTCTTTTTTATTTTTCTCTTTTTTCACACCAATTTCAATTTTTTTTTAAATTAAGTGTTTTTACATATGTTTCCATTCTATTTCATTTTCTGGGAGTGGAGAGATTTGTCTAAAGGCAAAAAAATATAATCTAATAATATTCTTTTTAAAATATTTAGATAATAAAAATGCTCCCACTAATAAAGAATAAAAAATCAGTTATTATAAACATTGCAACACTAATATAGTTACCACCATACAATAAACAACACTATACTTATGATATTAATGCTATTAATAATAATTATAATAATAATAATAATCCCACACAATATATGCAACATTTTTTTATGATAGTATAGTAAGTTTAGAGATGTGTCATGTAATTTTGATTGTTAAAAAAGGTTTTGTATTGTCCCCTATTTCTGGAAAAAAATAACTTTGTTGCATTTTTGTTTTTTTTTTTTGTTTTTTTTTTTTTGTTTTCTTGTTTTTATTTTGGCCTCCATGCTGTAATATTTAAAAATATTTGATATATGATTATTATTTAAAAATAAATTACAATTGAAAAGTTTGTTTAAGTTGGTGTTTTTTTTTTTATTAATTAAAAGGGAAATGTGGTTTAAAAGATACTGTAAAGAAAAATTAAATCAACAGAGTTAAAATTTCAGCTTAGGAAGAGTGATGAAGTGTTATGTAATATCAGTCCTCCTATATGGCAGTGATATTGGACAATTTCCATGCAGCTGAAGAAGAGTCTTGTGTTCCTTCAGAAGGATACAAAGATTACCATGGACAGAGCATTTAAGCAAATGGAAAGTTTTAAAGAAAATGGAAACTAAAAGGACACTTGCTTAGAATCAGAAAAAGAGCGTTGAAATGTGACATATTAAAGAAAAGAGGGCTTGAAAAATTTGACACTCAAAAGACATACTGATGGCAAAAGAAAGAGAGAGGGAAGCAGTGAGCAGTATGCCTAACGAGCTTGTGTAAGTGGATGCCAGAACAGGAAGTGGTGGATGGTTATTGATCAAATACTGTTTGCAGCTACAGGCAGTAGGAATTCGTGAAGAACCATGATCGCCTCACCTTTGCCATGAAAGGACATCTTACTTATTATAAAACCCATGTTGTGTGTGTGTGTGTGTGTGTCTGTACGTTTATATATTGGATCGAATTTCCTACATTTTTCAACCAATTTCAACAAGACTTCACAAGACTATGTAAAATTACCTTGCGGTGGTTCTGACAGCGCCAAAAATTGGAAAAACACAATTGTTTTTGCATGAAATCAATTTGAAAACATGATTAAAAGGCATTATTGAAAGGGGGATAACTCATATCGAGTTATACTTATTAATATCGAGTTATCGAGTTATACTTATTATAAAACCCAGGTTGTTTGTTTGTGTGTGTGTTCGTTTATATATGGGATCGGATTTCCTACATTTTTCAACCAATTTCAACAAAACTTCACTTTTTTTTGGCAGGTAGTGTTTCTTATTGTCTTGCACACTTTTTTCTTTATTTTTACATTCAGAACGCTTTAAAAATTCCATTTACAAGACAATTGTTTATAATAAAATTGAAAAATTCTATTCAATCGGTAGACTCATAACGATTGAAAACAATGTTTTTGTTCGAGTTTGGGTTTGACCAATTCGTAAAAAAAAACCCAAAAAACTAATTAAGACATGCGTGTCCGTCAACCTTAAACAATAATCTTTGTCAATTTTATTTTTCAGTCTTTATGATGGTCGATACTTGATCTATCTCTTACTGTTACATCCCCGGGCAATGCCGGGTTCTACTGCTAGTGTCTTATAAAAGAAGAAACCCTACCCACCCAGAAGATATCTGCAATATAGTTTTCTTACCCACTTGTTTCTCTATGAAGCAAAGTAACTTTTATAAGTACTTCTATAATTTATTCAAATGGACTAGATTAGTGAAGTGGTAGTTGTGAAATTACCACTAGTTGCAATGCTCAATGTTTTACTAGTCATGAACAAAAAATGTTGATTTTTAAAGTGGATGAGAACTTCTCATTTGAAAAGATCCCCACAACATTGTTTTCTTTTACCATTAACTTCCATGTCAGATTTAGTATATTTTTTTAATCATTTCACCCCTATGAACTGAAGTAACTTATAAATACCTATATAATTTATTAAAACAGACTAGATTGGTGCTGAGGTAATATTAAAAACAGGAAAAATTTGTTTGAGACAAATATATATATATATATATATATATATATATATATATATATATGTATTATAATTATTTAAAAAAAAATGATTCCTTTGCTACATAAGAGTTCTCATGTTTCAAAATATATATTTATAAATATAAATGACAATAGGAAAACTGTGGTTATTGCTGATGCATTTCATCCAATGTGGACTTTTCAAAAGCAAAAGGCGAAATGAATTTAATTAAATTTAATTAATTAATTGATAGTCCACATTGGATGAAATGCATCAGCAATAACCACAGTTTTCCTATTGTCATTTATATTTATAAATATTGTCTTTTCTACAGATTAACTCTGAGAAATTTTCATATATATATATATATATATATATATATATATATAAGTATGCCTTTAAATTCCTTGGGGAACATGGGGCCACAAAATATTGTAGTTTCTGTAACAAGCCATTTTTTTTTTTTTTTACATGAGTAGGTTGTTAGCCTACTGCACAAGCCACAACCAGGTTTTGAATTCAGAGTTGTCCTTCTCCTAGATGAGTTTGCACCCAAGTCTATAGAATCCTATCTGTCCTGCTATTTATCCATAGCTGGTGGGGAGAAGAAGAGGATTCATACCTTTCCCAAGTGAATATAATGGATCTGACTGGAATTTGAACTCAGCTCTTCAATTTTCCAATTTGAGCCACTATCTATTACTTCACCATACCTCCTGGAAATAAAAATAGGAGTGCTCAAAGGTTATGTAATCTCAATCAGTATCCTAACAAATAAATAGGAGACTTGATGCGACAGAAATAAAGAATAAGCTTTCCTCTTTGGTACCACAACTTCACAAATATAAGTGCAGTACTCGATTGGAAATTAGGTCTCATCCTTTTACTACTGAAATTGCTAGATATAGCCATTGGAAATATGCAAACAGTTTCTTCTTTTGCACTTCTTGCCTGTGAAAATCTCTTCAGGATTCACATTTTCCTGTCAACTATAATCTTCAAATATTTAAATGCAGTGTCAATCTTCATGTTCTCTCTGCTTGGATCCTGTTTTTCTATTGTCATCTCTCCTCATTTACATTTTCTCAGTTTCACACTCAGTAACCCATTTGTGTCTTAGTGGCTTTATCACCTTGGTTTGGGTGAAATGATTAAAAAAAGATACAGGTTTGTAAAATTGTATCAAAGATATTCCTATTGATGACCTATAAAGATGCTTGAGAATATGATAAATAATTTTTGTATTGTTATTTTAATTGGATATCCTTACATGATGCAACATAGCACAAATAACTAGTTTTATTGGTGATATAAATTTCTTGGTTCCAAATATGTATATTCTGTTGGTTAATGGATTTTCTTGCAAACCACCAGGTAGCAGTAATTCACCTATTTGTACTGAATTTATTCCACCAATAAATTGACTAACATTGGCTTTATAGCATGCATCTCTCTCTATGTACATGCATATATTTAAAAAAGACTTATGAACTTAGACATGATGAAGTCTTAAGCTATAGTAAGCTACAGAAGACTTAATTAGATAATGCACATCAAACTAAGACAGTAAATTTGTAATTTGCTTAATTTTCTACCTGGATTACTGAAATGAGGAGATTATTATTTACATTATTTATACTTGAACTATTGTACTCTTGCAATGCTTCTGGTCTTCATCTAGTGTCTTTTGATCTAGGTAACCCTAAAAGAATTTTAAACTGATCCCTTTATTGAATCTACAGTAGAATTATACTACCACTGTCCATGTTTAGAGATATCTCATCTGATGCGTTTTTAGTATAACTCAGTATAAATAGACTGAGCAATGACTGAACAGTACTAAATAAGAACAAGACTAGATATCCCTAGACATGGACAATGGAACAAGAACAATCTACCTGTGCAGATTAAATAAAGAGTTCAGTTCAAAATTCCCTGAAGTTTACCTGGATTGAAAGATACCTGAAGAAGGTTGGAGAGTATAATGGGCAAAACATTGTGATGATGAGGACATTAGTCTGAATATAAATAATGATAACACTGTAATCGTGAACTCAATCTCTAGGCAGGATAGTGTAGACTTAGACCCAGTGGAAACAGGGTGAGGAATAATTGAGCAATACTAAATAAGAACAAGACTAGATATCCCTAGACATGGACAGTGAAAGGAGAACAATTTACCTGTGCAGATTAAATAAAGAGTTCAGTTCAAAATA